TGGGCACTAAAAACACAGGAGGGAACACAACAGACACGGATGCCTGCCTTCAGGGACTTCCCATACTCGGTATTGTTGGATAGACAGTGGAAAACACTAAATCAACCTGCTGGATGTTGTGTGTGTCCTCCAGTCCATTCGCACTCCTTCCCTGACCCGCTCTGTGTCCCAGGAGGTTGACTGTGTGAACTTCATCAACTGGGCTCTGCCGCATCTGGCTTCCGGCCGAGCCGGGCCCATGAGAAGCCCTGCGAGGCACCTGGGCAGTGGGAGGACAGAGAGAGCTGGGTGTTCACTGGCCAGGGCTGGGCTCCAGCTTCCCCTGGGTTTCAGGAACACTGTTTCCTTTCCCGCCCTTTCCAGCCTAGGAATGGTGACAGCACCCGCCCTGGTGCTAGTCCTAGGGGAGCCCAGCAGCGTTACTGGTTTGCCGAGCCCTCCTGTGTCTCTGTAAATGGTCCCTTCGTTAAGGGCTCTTCAAAATTCCACCTGCGTGTGCCTTGTGTACCCCGCCGTCCCGGGGGCCCAGCTCAGGGCCCCTGGCTGACTCAACAAGTAAATATGTATTATCGGGAAGTGCGAACGCTATGAAGAAAACAAGGCAGGATGCGGGGGTAGAGAGGGAGGGGGTGCTGTTTTGGACAGTCAGGGAAGGCTGCCTGAGATCACGTTTGAGCAGAGAGAAGCAGAAAGCGAAGAGGGCAGCCATGTAACCCTGAACTACGTACTTACCTTGGGAAGAGTGTCCAAGCAGCGGTGGCAACAACAGATGCAAAGGCCCTGAGGTGGAATAATGCTCGGTGTATTTGAGGAACATCAAGGGGGCTGGTGTGACTGGAGACAGTTGGCGAGTAGAGACGCTGAAGAAAGTGGTAGGGCAGGGATTAGCTCACTCATCGGCCAAAGGGGGAAACCCGGGACCTAGGGAAAGGCAGGACTGGCCTAAGGTCCCACACTGAGGCCAACTTCGCTCAATCCCCATGCCTTCCTCCTAGCATGTGCTGCCTTTCTGGAGGACAGGAGGAGGGCTGGAACCCTACCATGTACCCCAGAGAGAAAGCACAGCCTCCTCGGGAAACCTGCCAAGTGGTTATGGTGCTGGGCCCCTGGGGCCACTGCCCCCCCCCCGCCCCCCCGCCCACAGATCAGCCTCATCTCTGATCCCATTCAGGGGCTTCAGTCTGTCCTCACAGCAGCCGCCAGAGTGTTCCGTTACAACCCAAGCCAGCCCTCAGCCCTCCTCTGCTCTGGTCTCTGCTCTGGTTCAATCTCTCAGAGAAAAAGCCAAAGTCCTTTTTGTGGCCAGCAAGGCCCTACAGGACCAGGCCCTTGTCACCTCTCTGACTTCACCCCCTGCCACTGGTCCTCTCGCTCATTCTGCTTCCACCGCACTGGTCTCACAGTTCCACCTCAGGGCCTTTGCCCTGGCTTTTCCCTTTGTCTGGATCACTCTTCCTCCAGCCATAACTCCTTCTGGGGTCACACTGGTTTGTGTATGGATCCTCCCAGGGTCACACAGTCCGGGGTGTGGACCCTCCTGGGATCAAACAGATGGGGGTGTAAACACTCATGAAGTCACTAGATTTGGGTATAAGGAATCCTGGGGATGTACTGATTGGGGATGCGCCTCCCAGGATCACAGAGATGAGTTTTGGACACTTCTGGGGTCACACAGTAGGATGTGGAGGCTTTAGGGCTCACGCAGACGGGGATGTGGACATGGTTGAGGTCACACAGAAAGAGGCGTGGCCACTACGAAGTATCACAGACTGAGATGTGTTTTCTTAGGGTCCTATGGATGGTATGTGGACACTTTTGGTGTCACACAGGCTGGTGTGTGGACAACACCACTGGGGTCACACGGACTGGAGTTTGGACACCTCTGGGATCACCTCGTTTGGGATATGGACACTCCTGGGGCCACACGGACTATGATCTGGTACCTTCTGGTTTTATACAGGCTCCACTTTGGACACCCTCAGTCACAAATCCCAGGGTCTGGACACGCCTGGGGTCTCAGTCTAGACCAAGGCCATCGCTGAAGATGCACAAACTGGGCACTAGATGCTACTCTGGTCAAATGGGTGTGGCACGGGTACTCCTGGATTGTCATGGGCTCGGCCATGGACACCCGTGTGGTCGAACAGCTTGTGGTGCGGACTCTGCTGAGGTCGCACCAACCAGAGCAGAGATGCCTCTCGAGACACAGAGATGGGGGGTGGGTGCCCCCGTGGTCACACTCCTCTGGTCACACTGAATGGGACATTGTCTTCCCCTGTGGTTGCAGATACTGGGGTGTGGAGACTTCTGTGGTCACACAGACTGAGCTGTTGCTACTTCCGGACTCACTCTGACTGTGGGGTAGGCGCTCCTGGGGTCCCATGGGCTGGGCCGTGGAGGTTTCTTGTCGTCAGAGACACTGGGATGTGGACGCAGCCAGGACTCATCTGTGGTCATAGAGACAAGGAAGAGAACATGTTTGTACTGGAGTGTAGACACTCCCTTGCTCACACTGTCTGGGGTGTAGACACTCCTGGAATCCTACAGACTGGAGTTTGGCTGCTCCTAGGGCCACACAGACTGGGAAATGGACCCTCCCATGGCCATGCAGGCAATGGAGCAAATGAACTTGAGGCCACAGAGACTGAGGTGTGGAAACTCCCTGAAAGTTGCAGACCAGGGAGTGACTCCCGGCGGTCAGAGCTTGGGGCGTGGAGACTTCTTTGATCATACAGCCGAGGGTGTAAAAACTCCGGGAATCACACAGCTAAGGACATGCCACCCTGGGGACACGAAGACTGGGTGGTGGCTTCTCTTGTGGTCACACTGAAAGTTGGTCATCCTGGGGTTACACAGACAGGCTATCGTGTGGAGACTTCTGGAGAAACAGGCTGGCTGTGGGCCCTCCTGGGGTTACACAGACTGGGGCGTGGACACTTGTGGCATTTCAAGGTCTGAGGAATGATACTCCTAGGGGACACTGACTGGGGGAGGTGGAAAGCCCGTGGTGACAGACTGGAGTGTGAACGATTCTGCAGTAACACAGATGAGGAGTTCACTCCCGAGGACACCCATGGGGGTCTGGAGATTCCTGGGGTCACACAGAGCGGGGGGACACTCCTGCAGTGACAAAGGCTGACATAAGGCCATTGGTAAGGTCTCTGGGGTGTGCGCACTGCCTCAGGCTAACATACTTGGTGGTGGGCACTTCCTGTGGTCAAACAGACTGGAGTTTTCACAACTCTGTGGTGACAAGCTTTGCGATGTGGACACTTGGAGGCTCAGAGAGACTGTTGTTGAATATGCCAGGTATCACACAGACTGGAGTGCATATACTTCTGTGGTGACATGATCTGTGTTGTAGACACCCCTGGGGTGACCATGACCGAGGGTGTGGTAACCCCTGAGGTCACACAGACTGGGGAAGGGACACCCATCGTTGTTACGCAGTCTAAAGAACTGACAAACTCATGGTCAAACTGACTGGGGTGTGTACATTTTTGGGGCAACACAGACTGGCTAACGGAAAGCCTAGGGTCACAGCCTGGAAAATAAACTGTCATCACAGACTGGGTGGAAGTACTCAGACTAAGGTAAATGCTCAACTGGGGACACATGGTATGGGGTACACCTGCCTCTGGACACTGACTTTGGTGTGGAGTCACCTAGAGGTGTATGGATGCTCCTGGAGTTGCAAGGCTAGGGTAGCCACACTCGGGGCCAGACAGGGTGCTCCCGAAGCCGGAGCCTGAGCCTGAGCCTGGGTTAGGCTGGTCCTTCCTGGGCCACACATTCAGGGGTGTGGACATCGCTGGGTCACACAGTTTGGGGATTGGGCACCTGCTCCCATCACAGGGACATGCGTGTATGTCGGATGTCACACAGATGGGGGTGGACATGATTAGGGACACGGAGCCTGAGATGCAAATACTCGCTGGGTCCCAAAGGCTGTTGTGTTTATACTCCTGGAGATTTAGGTGGATATTCCTGGGACCTCAGACTCTAGTGTGGACATGTTGAATTTGCATGGTAATGGGTATGGCTACCCCCGCGGTCACATAGGCTTTTGTGCAGATACTTCTGAAGACTCCTGGTTTAACATTCCATAGTGTGCCCCGCTGCCAACATCAGGCATTATAGACTCAATATGGACACTTCTAGGTTCACACTGTCAGGTACAGAAACATCTAGGGTCACCAACTGGAATGTGGGTGGTCCTGAGATCACTGAACTGAGTTGTTGACGGGGAATGTGTTTCTTTTTTTTTTTTTTTAAAGGTTTTATTTATTTATTTGACAGAGACAGCGAGAGAGGGAACATAAGCAGGGGGAGTGGGAGAGGGAGAAGCAGGCTTCCCGCGGAGCAGGGAGCCCGATGCGGGACTCGACCTCAGGACCCTGAGATCATGACCTGAGCCGATGGCAGACGCTTAACCAACTGAGCCACCCAGGCGCCCCATGGAGAATGTGTTTCTAAAGATACAGGAGGGATGCCTGGGTGGCTCAGTCGGTTAAACATCTGCCTTCAGCTCAGGTCATGATCCCAGGATCCTGGGATGGAGCCCTGCATCGGGCTCCCTGCTCATCAAGGAGTCTGCCTCTCCCTCTGCCCCTCCCCACCTCTGCACCCTTGCTCTCTCAAATGGATAAAATCTTAAAAAAAAAAAGAGAGTAGATCTTAAAAGTTCCTATCACAAGAAAAAATTTGTAACTAGGTGATGCGTGTTAACTAAACTTATTGTAATCATTCTGCAATAGCTATGTATCAAATTAGGTTGTATACTTTAAAATTTATATGAAGTGATATATCTTACGTTAATGAGAACAAATATTACTATACATATTAAAATGAAACAACACTGGGATAAAGTAATATATGGACTTTTTTATTAGTACATCAAATTATAAGATCTTTCATAATTCAAAGTAGTGACAAATGTCAACAGCATTTCAAGATGCCTGCAAAAACCATACTGGAACATAAAAAGTAATGGATTTGGCTAACTGGTACTGCTTTTCCTATTGTGATTTGTTGCCAGCATTCCTATTGGGGGGTAAAGCTAAATTTCGGTCCTATGAGTGAAATTTCAGTTCTATTACTGAAAATAAAGATGTAATATTTTCCTCCATCAGGTTCACAGATACCCCTGATTTCTATCCAGGTTAAGATCCCCTGTTTTGGGGGTAAACTCTAGATATAATCAGGACACCTTTGGAAAGCTTGAGACAGGAGGCAAGGCCTCACTCAAGACTCTCCTCTGCGGTGTAGACAGGCATTGTGTGATGTTTCCTTGCTGTGTTCCCGGTGGTCGTTGCAGGTTCCCACTCGGGGCGTGGATGTTCAGGACCCGTTGATGAGATATTTGAAAACCAGTTCATCAACGCAGGTTCTCGTTTTCCCGACAGCAAACAGCTTCCGAGATGTATCAGACTGCCAGCTACCTAAAGCCAAGGACAAAGAAAGTTTTAAAAATACATTTTCCCACTTCCTTCTACTGTAATCATTGTTCACTCAGGTACTGACATTTTTTTAAAAGATTTTTTTTTTAAATTTATTTCACAGAGAGACTGAGAGAGCACAAGCAGGGGGAGCGGCAGGCTGAGGGAGAAGCAGATTCCCCACTGAGCAGGGAGCCCGACATGGGGCTTGATCCCAGGACCCTGGGATCATGACCGAGCCGAAGGCAGAAGCTCAACCAACTGAGCCACCCAGGCGCCCTGGTACTAACATTTTTGTGACTTTTTTCCCCTACTTCTATTGTGAACCATAACATACAAAAAAATACACAACATCTACCTACGTTTTATATATGTTCAGTTTAAGGAGTGACAAGAAGGTGTTATTTTTTAGTAACTGTAGGATGTTCATTCTCATTGCTGTGTAATTCTCCACTGTGAATATACCAGGATTTAACGATCCATTCTGCAGTTATGGATGTTTGGGCTCTATCTAGTCTGGGGGTACCAACAGTGCTGGTGAGGAATTCTAGTACTTATTTCTTAGGAGCAGCACTGGCTCGCGTGCAGCCCTAGACAATGCCTAACCATTTCCCCCAGTGGCCATCAGTGTATAGGAGGGTTCCTATTGTTGCACACCCTTCCGGACACTTGGTATTGCCAGTCATCTTAGTGTTACCTTGCATTTCCCTGAGAAGCAGCTTTTCATGTGCTCATTAGCCAATCTCCTATTTTCTTTTCCCTATTGATTTATAGGAACTTTTTAATATCAAGGATACTATATCTAGGGTCTGTAAATAATCTTTTCCCACCGTGATTCGCCATTTCATTTTTTAAAAGGTACTTTTTACTTCTTTTTTTAATGGAAGATTTGGTCTAAAAACCCTGTTAAGCCATTGTCAGAAAGGGACTTTCTCTGACGTGCCTTCCTGAGGATGAAAAGTCCTCCAGCACAGAGAGGTTTGGCCCACTCTGCTATAGGCAAACTGGCCCCTGACGGCTCCCTCACACACCACGCATGGTTCTGCCTCAGGGCCTTTGTATTTGCTATTCCCTCTGTGGAATGCTCTTCCCCTAGATGAACACACACATGCTCTCCCTTATCTCCTTCAGGTCTCTGCTCAAACATTACCTCAGTGAGCCCTTCGTTGACAACCCTTTTAAAAACTGCAAACTGCCACCCCTGGAATTCCTGATTCTCTTTACCCTACTTTATTAAAAAAAAAATGTTCATATCCCTTATTACCTTTACATATACACACCCCCACCCCCACCCGTATATATATATATACAATATGCTGATTCAAGCTATATACAGTGAAACACAAACTATAACTGTATACGTATATGCACACGTAGTGTACCTGTGGGTATGCTGTGTGTAGAAACGCCTGCATCCATAAGCTGTTTGTTCATTACCTCTTTCTCAGTCTAGAAAGGGCCAGGATATTTGCCTGTTTTGTTTGCTCTATCTCCCAACCTAGAACAATGCCCAGCACACAGCACATGCCTAATAAACGTTTACAGAATGCCTCAATCCGTAAAATGCTTAAAGCAGGTCCTGGCACGTGACATCAGGTACTTAGTAATGGTTGGCTGACTGAAATCTTATCAGTTAATGTAAAAATTCCAAAGGTGAAATTTTTCTGACCTTTTTCTTAAAGGTGCCCTTTACTCAAACTGTTAGATAAAAAGGCAAATTTACCTGAATGTGTTAAGGTGAACAATTCATTTCATTGTCTTCCACCTACCCAAGAAAAAGAAAAATGACTCAGATACTTGCCTAAGCCTTTCCATTCATTATACTTGGTCTTACCCATTGATTTTTACAGCTACTGGGAGGCAGCGAGGAGTGTTTTGGCCCCAGAGACCTTGTGATTTGGGGGCAGAAAGAGGTACACTGAGAGGGGATCATGTGGGCTCCGAGAAAGGGCACTGAGGGCCCCGGGCCACACGTTTCCAGACCTCAGAGGCCAGCAGGGTGTGGTGCTGTGAAGCAGCCAGGGGCTGGGACGTGTCCACTGTGCTGATGGGGCAGTCCTGGGGACGGATCTCCTTGGCCAGCCGCCCTTTCTTCTTCAACGTGCAGGCCTCCTGGTACGGTGGCGAGATGGGGGGCTGCGTGGGTGGAGTATACTTGTACTCTGAGCCATCCTCTAGCTGCAGGGACACATGGTGGGGGGGACAGTGAGGACCTGGGAACCTAGGACAGTGCCCCCCCCCCACCTGCCTACTGTTGGTTGGGCACTCACGTCCAGTGGGTAACTGCGGTCCGAATCATAGGAGCTTAGGTCCCCACAGGTCACAAATGGCACAATGATACGAGTAGGACCATCCAATTGGTTGAAATCTGGATCTGACAAGCAGGGAGAAATAAGACAGGACAGGGCTGGGGTGCCTGGGACCAGTCGGGACTCCTTCTACAGCAAGGGTATGGAGTCCTCCCCATGTATCTACCAGTTCCTCCACCGGAAATCCTTCACTTGGTTCAGATCACCTCCTCAGGGAGGCCCTCCGTGATCACCTGTTCTAGAACATCCCCCTCCCCTGCTTTTCTCACACGGCACCTTATGTTCACCTGTGATTCTACCATATGCTGCCTGAACCCTGTCTCACTCAAGTGTGCTCACCTTAAGAGCAGGCTCTGTGCCTTTTCCCACTAGGGACCAGGCTAAAGACTCTCTCGGGGCAAAATTCCCGCACAGGGGTGGAGTATCCACCTGAGGGCACGACCGAGTCTTCCTAGGCTAGAATCTTAGGTGGGTGGAATCTCCCCTAGGGCAGGACTCGGGATCTGAGAGTAACCATTAGAGGACCGGGATGAAGATCCTCCTGGGACAAAACATCCATACAGGGGTGGAATTTCCACCAGAGGGTGGGGCTAAGGATCATCTTGGGACAGAAGTTCCATAAAGGGTAAGTTTCCACCAAGGGGTGGGGCCGAGGGCCCTCCTGAGACATAAATTCCAGAACGGGGGGTGCCTGGGTGGCTCAGTTGGTTAAGCGACTGCCTTCGGCTCGGGTCATGATCCCGGAGTCCCGGGATCGAGTCCCATATCGGGCTCCCTGCTCAGTGGGGAGTCTGCTTCTCCCTCTGACCCTCTTCCCTCTTGTGCTCTCTGTCTCTCATTCTCTCTCTCTCAAATAAATAAATAAAATCTTTAAAAAAAAAAAAATTCCAGAAGGGGGCAGAGTCTCCCCCCCTCCCCCCGCCCCCGGCCCCGGGAGGGGCCCAGGGCTCTGGCTCTCACCGTAAGAGTGGTCCAGCAGGGGTTTGGTCAGGTCCGGAAGGAAGCCTTCAGGGGGGTCATAACCCTGACAGACAGCGAAGGCCTCTGTGGGTGGAAGGTGGAGTGAGGGGCGACTGCTACCTCCACCTGGCAGAGGATGCGCGCCCGCGATCGGCATCCGCCTGCCTGGCCCTCCCACCCCCACTGACCTATGCTGGAGTTGCGGCTGCTTCTGGGCTTGGCACAGAGCACGCTGGAGAAGAAGACGCGCAGCTGGCTATAGATCAGGGTCACATCCCGGCCTCGGAAGATCTGCAGGGCGAGGGGACAGAGATGAAGGCATGAGGGTGGCCCTGGAGGACCCCTCTTTACCCCTCGCCAGGTTCTCCGAAGGCTTACCTTGGCTACAAAGCAGCCTCCTGGCTTTAACACGTGTGTAGCAATGTTGAGAGCCTGTGGGCAGGACAAATGGCTAAGGTGGAGGTGGAGACAGGCACGAGGGGTCCAAACTGAGGCAGGGGCAGCCAAGGTTACTCACGGCTAGGAGGAGCTGGGCCTGCATATACTCATCAACATCATGGAGGCCAGTTACTGCGGCAAGAGGAACAGCGTTAGGGGAGGCCATCTGGTTCTGGCTAGCTCCTTGTCCCAGACAGGCCGGGATGCTACAGACATTTCCCAGGCTCTCTTACTACTAAGGTTCTGCGTGCAAATTCCTATCTGCCAAATGGATGCATGTTCTGGGCTCCTAGCCCTTAGGCACTCATTTCAATTTTCAAAACAACCTAATACACAAGTATCATTATTATCATTTCTTACCTCCAACCAAAACTGCTCCCCTGAGCGCCTGACTCACAGATCAGACTCTGACACGTCCAAGACCAGACTCCTGACCTTCCTGTTCAAACCTCTCTCCTTACACCATCTTCCCCCCATCTGATCCTTCCAGTTGTTCCAGCCAAAAACCTCTGTACCGCTGACACCCTCCGTTCTCTTCTCACATCCACGTTCAAGCGTTAGCAAGTCCTGTCGGCTGTACTTGCGCCAGATCTCCCGGATCAATCCTCTCGCCTCATCTCTGCCGCCGCCACCCCGCCCATCGCTCGCCTGGGCTATGCCGTGGCCGCCACCTCCCGCCCTCGCCCCTCACACAGCCCCCAGCAGCCAGAGGGGTCCGGTCACGGGCGGAGTCAGGCATGGCCCTCCTCTGCTCACAACCCTCTCATGGTTCTCTCTGAGCTCTCATCTCAGGGAAAAGGCCACAGTGCTCACTGTGGCCCTCACAGGGACCCACACCAAGATCTGCCCCCCCCATCCTGCCACCTCTCTGACCTCCCGTCCTACCACTCTCCCCCTCGCTCACTCTGATCCAACCACACTGATATCCTCGCGGTTCCTCACACATGCCAAACGCCCTCCCACCTCAGGGCCTCTGCACTGGCTGGTCCCTTTGCCTGCACTGTTCGTTCTCCAGATATGCCCCTGGCCTACTCCCTTACCTCTTTTAAGTCTCTGTGCTAAGGTCATGGGGGCCTTCCCACCCACTTTACTTAAAGTTCCAACAGGTACTCCCTGTCTCCTTGTCCTTTCCACTGATTTTCCCCATGGTACCTATCATCTCATCGCATGCTATGTGACTCCATCATTTGTTTCTTTTCCCTCTGCTCCCACTAGAACGTCAGGTCTATGAGGTCAGCTTAGTAGAATTTTATGCACAGATGTTTTCCCCACTCGTGGAACAGTGCGCGACACACAACAGGTGCTCAATAAACGTGCACCGAGTGAACGGTTAACTGAAAAACAGGAATGAACAGCACCATAGAAACAGAGAGTTGCAGATGAGAGACGAGCAAAGGGACGGGTAGACAGCAGCCGGACCAAAACGGCAGGGTACGGAGACGGAGGGGGACAGAGGCAGAGATCGGGAAGCAGGGGCAGGGAGAAACTGCTAGATGCGGGAGAGGTGGGGGACAGCTGAGAGCAGAGGGGAGGCAGGGAGCAGGTGAAGTGGTGAAAGAAGCCAACAGAGGGCGCCTGGGTGGCTCAGTTGGTTCAGTGTCCGACTCTTGATTTCGGCTCAGGTCAGGATCTCAGGGTCCTGAGATCGAGCCCCACGTCCCGTGCTAGGCGTGGAGCCTGCTTAAGATTCTCCCTTTCCCTCTGCCCCCACCTCTCTTAAAACAAACAAACAAACAAACAAAAGGAAATAGAGAAAGAAGCCAGCAGATGTGGGAGCCACAGAGAAGGACGCACACAGGGCTCCCGCCTGGCCTCCCGATCCCTGCTGCTTACCGTCAGGAGCCCCGTCGCACACCACTAGGTCCGCCGGGCAGCCCTCAAAGTGCTGGATGATCTCCTTGGCAGTGGACAGCTACAGAAGAGAGGGAAGACGAATGGTCCCGGGCCCCCCGTCTGCAGCCCTCTAACCCCGCCTGCCCATGGCCCGAGCCAGCAACCCTGGGGCAGCCAAACCCTCAGGCTTCACTGGTCTAACACCGGGCTCCATCTGTGGGGACCCAGTCCCATCATTGCTGGCTGGCTGAAATGACGACCGGCTGGCTCTGTGTCTCCACTGTTACACTCTCCCGGGTTCTCTTGGTTACCCTCTCTCTGTCTTTCTCTTCCACTTCCCGTAGCTGCCAGGTTTGGAGGGGCTCTCGCCCCAGATACACCCCAACACCCCCAGCCACGCTCTTACCTGGGTGATGTCCCCTTGGATCTGTAACACACCTGGTAATGGAGCCATAGCCTGAAGGTCCACGGCCACCACATGGCCGGAACCCTGGCCCCTGTGGACAACATGGCTCACGTCAGCCCAGTTGTCACTCCTGGCTCATCCCGGACTTGGCCTGCCCTCCCAGCTGCCCCATCTGGGACCCCACACTCACCCAATTTTCTGGCTCAGCACCTGGCTCCAGCTGCCTGGGGCTGCGCACAGGTCAACTGCCCGTGTCACGCCTGAGCACACACAGGAAGGTGTAGGGGTCAGTTGTACCCACCTCTCCAACCCTGAGCCCTGCAGAGTTCACCCCTTTCCCTTGAGGGAGCGCCCACATCTATCCGTGCCCAACTCCTTCCAAGTTACCTGCCCCGTCCCTGGCCCGCAGACCCTCCGAGTCAGCCCGCCTACCACAGGAAGCTCTGCCGACACGGCCCACTTGTCTATGCCCTTTGCCCAGCCCATCCCCCAGTGACTCGCCCGCCAGGTGGGGACCTTGGAAGAGGTGGAATTCCTCGTCCAGTTGTAGCAGCTTGAAGGCACTGCGGGCGCGCCAGCCACCCTCCTTGGCCAGGCGGTAGTAGACGTCCCGCTTGTCCTTCGAGGTCCGGCCCATCTCGCGCGCTGTCTGCCCAGGGACCTGCCGGCGGTAAGCTGATGCTGCCCTGTATCAGTAACTGGGGGAGGGGGCTACCGCCCACGTCTGCAGGGCAGTGGGAACCACACGAACCACCGCAGGACCCCCAGGACAGCTCACTCAGCAGATGGGGAAAGTGGAGCCCAGTCCCTGACCCCACTGACCTCACAAGGCCGGAGGGACTCCAGCCCCGAGCTCTAAGGCTTCATTGCTCACCCCACAGAACCCGCCCCGCTCACTCCACGGACTCCCCCACTCACCACCACAGATCCCCAAACCCAACACTTATAGATGACCCATTACCGACCCTGTGGGCCTCCCACTGCTGCCCACCCACACTCCACACGTCAAGCCCCGTGACACTCACCCACCTCACCCCCATTAACATCTCACTGACCATCTCCCCAGCTGTCTTCAGGGCCCCTAAATTCATACACCCCTACCAGCCTTGCTCTCACCCCCATTATCCTAGTACTACCTCATGGTACTCCTCACCCCCTTAATCTCTCCCCACCCCATTCCCCATTAATAAATGATTAGCCCCCCACTAACTCCTTTATTACTACATCCTTACCAACCTCCATTAATGTGTAGAGAATCATGGCCTATTAGTTCCCCCTTAAGCCCTCAATTACTATGATTTATCAGCTCCCATTAACGCAGCCCTCCAACTGATCCCTCATTGATCTCACCGTTAGCCCCCTGTAACCCCTTCATTACCACACGTTAATCCCTGATGATCACACATCAGTTCGCCCACCTTGCCCCCTCAATAATCACTTGATGATCACACCCCAGCACCTTACTATTACCTTCTCTTTGCTCCCTGTTCCCATTAATTCCTCAATTATCATGCCATGACTCCCCAAAACCCTTTGACTACAACACACCTACCTCTCATTCACTTTTCCTTGATCACTTCCCCCGTTAGTTCCTTGATCATGACTCCCACTGGCTTCACTTGTTCCCTCCATAGCTTCACCGTTATTCTTTGGATTACTACTGTCCCACCGCTCTTCATTAACTTAGTATCATACCTCAGCAGTCCCCCAGGGATCACGCCCCCATCCGCCTCCCACTACCTTCTTTCTAGTTGCCCACTCTACCACCCCTTCATTCATCAATGAACACACCCCTGGCCCCCGTGAACATGTTGACTAAAACACTCCTATTAGCCCCCACCGATTCCCGATAGCACGCCCATCAGACCTCCAGTACTTTCATGCGACCCACGCCCCTCTCCCATTAACAGCCCTCTGACCACGCTCCCGGTCTCGCATCATTACCTCAAAGCCCATGTCCCCATTGGGACCACCAGACCCCATTCAACGAGGCTCCGCCGATATCTGGAACCCTGCACTCCCCCCCGCCCCCCGTCGACCCCGCACAGCGGTTCCTTTCCGGACAAACCGTGGGTCTGGAGCCCCACCGGCACCAGCCGCCCAGACTACGCGGCTGCAGCACGGAAGGCGAACTTCCCTCCTTCCCTCGCCGGCGGGACAGCGCAGGCGTGCCTCGACTGTCTCGGCCTGGACCCTCGTCCTCCGCGCCCCAGGGCCTACCTTAGCTTTGCGGGTGGGGAGGAGGGGGACGAGGAGACCGGTCCGTGAGCAGCCCGAGCCGCAGCCCGAGCCGCGGCGAGAGCGCAGACCCGCCAGAAATCGTAAGGCTTCAGCTTGTGTTCTTCGTCAGTCCGAAAGCCTGTCGCGCATGCCTACGGACTCCCGCAGCGTGGCGAGCCTGTCATCGTGAAACGCGAAGGCTCCGGCGCGGCGCGGACCCGACCTGAACGTACAACGTGAGTCCCCGTCATCTTGTGTCGACGTAGTTCGTCTCGCGGACTGCCGTTCCCAGCATGCAACGGGCCCGACTCGAGCTGCTGAAGTCGCGCACAAACGTCGCGAGGCGGTCAGAACCGACTCTTCTTTTGTTCCACGGCTACGATGGATTTTGCTCTCCGCCCCTCCTTTTTTGGACCGGCGTGTTCACTGGGGACTACATTACCCAAGACGCAACGGGCACGGCGGAACCCATTCCTTTTACGCGAGGCGCGAAGTGAAATTACAGCTGGCGTCGTGAGAGTTAGGAAAATGCGTTAATTAAGTGCGCTAGGGCACGGAAGCCCGTCTGTGGCAAGATTCGGATCCACTTCAGCTAACTGATAGCGCTGCCCGAGTTGTACCCTTTCAGAGCTTCCGTTTCTCCCTCTGTAAAATGGGGATAATAAGTAGTATGGCTTCACAGAGTTATTGGGAGGATTTGAATAGGTGTAGTTCAGCACAGTGTCTGTCCTTTTGTAATTCTGTGTTCTTCAAACGTTTTTAACTTCGACCCACTGAAAAAGACTGCATCGCGCCCCGGTGCGCAAGTAAATATAGTAATGGAAACATTCATTACAGCGTTTACCATGTGCCAAGCACCTATTCTAAGTGCTCTGGTAAATAAATGGCTAACAACCGGTTCTTTGGGCGGGGGCTGGGGGGTGGGGAGGAAGCCCTGATGTCTCACATTTGCCAATTTTCCGTGGTTTCCATACCATCATCTTGTCAGATTTTAAATTACCGACGTGTAGTCACGGGACACCGAGTTTGGAAGAGATGCAGTAGTGCGGCATTATATACCGTTCAAATAGGGGTAAATGACCTCAACAGCGTAGAGAATAGTGAAATGTAGTAAAAATAATCAGGAAGTGACGAGTTTTGAGTATCACCTTTTAAATGATCTAATTTATTTTTTTTTTTAAGATTCTATTTATTTATCTGACAGAGAGAGACAGCGAGAGAGGGAACACAAGCAGGGGGAGTAGGAGAGGGAAGAAACAGGCTTCCCGCCGAGCAGGGAGCCCGCTGCGGGGCTCGATCCCAGGATCCTGGGATCATGCCCGGAGCCGAAGGCAGACGCTTAACGACTGAGTCACCCAGGCGCCCCTTAAATAATCTAATTTATTTAATTGTAAGTTTATATTATTTCATTTTAAATAATAGCTGTTTAACAACTGGTTCGCGAAATTCCTGAAAATTGAACAAGCAGTCTGCAAACCTGTGCGAGGCTCCAGTGCACTGCTGGATTCTTTCCTTGAACTCATTTTAATCCTAATAACAACCATCTGAAGTAGTTACTGTAACTATCCCCCGTTTATAGATATATAGGGAAGCTATATATTACATTAGGTGTATAAACATATGCTGCTTAATATGTGATTATGTAGAAATATAGTGATGTATAATATTCATTAGTGTATAGGTTATATATTAGTAAGAAATTAAATATAAATATACTGTTACATGTAAATATAAGAAAAATATATTTATGCATTTTGTATAGAGTATATATAAAATACACATATCTTATGCATATGACTTTTATTTATTTATTTTTTTTATTTTTTTTATTTTTTTGACAGAGAGAGAGTGAGAGCAGGAACACAAGCAGGGGGAGTGGGAGAGGGAGAAGCAGGCTTCCCACCGAGCAGGGAGCCTGATGTGGGACTCGATCCCGGGACGCTGGGATCACGACCTGAGCCGAAGGCAGACGCTTAACGACTGAGCCACCCAGGCGCCCTGCATATGACTTTTAAACGTATGTACTGATATATATAAATATACTGACATCTATATACATTTACTTACTAAAGTAACTGTACTAAATTAAACATACTATTATATGTGTAAATATATGATGTTATGTCAGGTGGTGATAAAAGCTATGAAGAATAACAAAGTAGGGTGAAAGGGATGGAGAGGAACAGAGGGGTCGAGTTGCTCTTTTATTTTATTTTTATTTTTTTGGAAGATTTTATTTATTTATTTTGACAGAGAGAGAGAGAGTGAGAGAGGGAACACAAGCAGGGGGAGTGGGAGAGGGAGAAGCGGGCTTCCTGCCGAGCAGGGAGCCCGATGCGGGTCTTGATCCCAGGACCCAGGATCATGACCTGAGCCGAAGGCAAACGCTTAACGACTGAGCCACCCAGGCGCCCCGTCTTTTATTTTATTTTTTAAAAAATGATTAATTAATTTATTTATTTGAGAGAGAGAGCGCGCGGCGCACGAGCAGGGGGAAGGGAAAAAGGAGGGGGAGAAGCAGACTCCCCACAAAGCAGGGAGCCCTAGGTGGGGCTCGATCCCAGGACCCCAGGATCATGACTCCAGCCGAAGGCAGACGTTCAACTGACTGAGCCACCCAGGCGCCCCTGAGTTGCTCTTTTAGACAGCGTAGTCAGGGAAGACTTCTCTGAGGAGGTGGCATTTGAGCTGCAACCTAAAGGGAAACGCACCCTAGGAATATTTGGAGGAAGAGCATTCCAGGCACAGGCAACACCAGGTGCAAAGACCCTGAAGTGAGAACAAGCTTGGTGAGTATTCAAAGAACTGCAAGGATTGATTCATCATTCCTTAGAAATACTGAGCTTCACGGGGCAGGAATTTTGTTCCGTCTTGTTCGCTGCTGCCTCCCGGCCCTAGAACAGGGCCCGGCACACAGGTGGCATTCAGTAGACGTATGTTGAATCCACCCTTTTGTTGCTTTGTTCCTTTATTCTTTCCTCAGTGGTGCGTTCTGCATTTATGTGGGGGCCCTGGGAGGTGTAGACAGACGGGCAGAGACAGGAAGAGAAGCACTTCCCGGAGGAGTCCCATAGAGCCGGGGAGGAAGCAAGAGCTGATCAGCAGCGCTCCAGGGCCTTGTGGGGGGCGGTGGGAACACGGCTCCCCTGCGGAGGTGAGCAAGGGTGAGAAAGCAAGGGTTCAAGCCACCTGGCCGCTCGCTGCTCCACAGAGGGGAGGGGGTGCCAGGCATTGGGGGCCCATGTTCACCCTGTGGGATGCTTCCCACGTCCTGTTTTCTTGCCTCTCACAAAGAGGATGTTTAAATTTTTTGCAAAGCAACTTGCTTCCTCCAGCAGGGCTGGGGGACTTGGGGGACGGGATCCAGGCTCTGAACTCCCCAGGCTTTTCCCGAAGTAGGGTGTCGGCCTGCAGCTCCCACCCGGCACCCCACTGAGTGTAAAGGTGTCCTCCCTCAGCCTCCTGAGGAGGTCAAGGCGCGGGGAGCTGCCAGGCCAGCTCTGTACCGCGGAGGGCATCTTACGGGGGGAGGGAAAGACGGGGGTGGTCCAGGTGCAGGGGACCAGACACAGACTCAAAAAGCCTTGC